TTAATTTGCGGACAAACAAGCTCACAGATTGTGTCTCCTTCCTGTTTTAGCTTGATAAATCTGTGTAAAATAAATCTATTTAGGTTGATAAATCTTGTAAAATCTGTGCTTTATCCCGTTATTAATTGCCTGCACATCTCTCAGCCATGAGACAGAAGTGTTGGTGACTCCTCACACACACTCAGAGCAGATCTGCTCATTTTTTTATCTGACAAGGATGAGAGGAAGAGATGGGAGCATCCTGACATCTGACTGACAGCACGAGCTGTGCACCTGTAGGGTGCTTTTTGGGGGAAAATAAAAAGCTTTCGGAAGTTCAGGGAAATGGGGGAATTGCACCATCCCAAGTGCTGCTGTGAATGCACCTCATTCTGGAAAATTCTGCACGGAAATGGCACAAAATCCATCCACAGGACATGGACCCAAGTGGGGAACAGGGACAGGGGATGAGCAGGAGCCCCTGGGATGCTGCAAACCAGGCAGGATAATATTCACATGGGACGTTCTGTCTCGGCCCAAATTTGCAGCTGGATTTGCACTCCCACCCCTGGATACAGCAGGGTTTCCCTCATCTCCCTTTCCCATCGTGGTGCTGCACAATAATTTATATTTCAGGGTTTAATTGCTGTGCTTTCRCACTCTTGGAATGATCTTTGTGTTGCGTTCACTGCAGTTTTTATTACTAAGAACAATTAATTTGTGGTATAAATACTTTGARTTTAGTAGAAGAAGGGTGATAAGACCAATCTTTTCCATTACTGCCTTAATATATAATACTTTAATATTATAAATTAAAAATTTAATATATTTTCATAGAAATAAAATGTTTATAAACCGTATATATAAATAAAATTTATATTATTTATATCTTATATATAGAAATTATACCAATTATATCTATTTATAGAAATGAAATGTATAGAAATGAAATGTATTTATATAGAAATATTTATTACTTTTCATATTWATTTAATTATWTATTTATTCKATATTAATAATGATTCCYCATTCTTTWAGGAGCATTTGAGGAGATGGAGAATAGGAATATTGGAAGTGTTTTCTCTGGTTGCAGGTGTGGATTCGCTGAGCAGTGCTTGGTTTGCAGGCAGTGCAGTTAGCTGATTGTCTCCCTCAGCCACAATCACTAACCTCACTGCCACCAAAACAAAGCACAGGACACCCCAAACTTCCTTATTCCAACTGGGAATTTATTCCTAATGGGATTGATTTGCAGCTTTGGTTCCAGAATCTCCCCTGCCCACAGCAGTGAGTGGCACATGTTGGTAAAATCATGAGAAATCCTCAATTTGGGAATTTTCCTGCACCAAGAACCCTGTCTGTTGTTTAAASTTTATTTTAATTTGCTGTACACTTAACTGTTTCTACATCCAGACCTGACTGAGAATTTTTTTATGTTGCATCCTTCAGCTTATCCGCCAGATATAAATAATTCCTATTTATTTTTCATGTTTTATTAAACAAGCTGGTAAGTGAAGGGAGTTCCAAGCAATGATTAAATATTAAACTCACCGTATAKACAAGTTTTATTTTTCCTCTGACCACTTACCTTAACAACCAACAATTTTAACATGGATAAAACACTTAATAATGATACAAAAGTATATTTTTTTAAACAGAAGGGGTGAAATGTTCTCCATCAGCCTGGTTACCAGGCAGTGTAGTTAGCTGATTGCCCACTGCAACAATCACTAGCCACACGGCCAGGTAAAAAGGTCTGGCAGACTGGAAATGGGAATTTGGGAGAGGAATTTGAAGAAGGAATTGGAAGCAGGAATTTGGAACAGGAATTTGGAAGCAGGAATTTGGAAGCAGGAATCAGGCCCAAGGGAATTCTGAGGACACAGAAGCATCAATAGGAAGGATGGTGAAATTAAATTCCCATCAAGCCTCATTCACTGCTCATTCACACTAAAAAACATGAGGACAAAATGTATTTTTTGAGTTTTTCTTCTCCAGATTTGCAGTTTTCAGTTCCCGTTCTGCCTGGGCTCATCTCAGCCTCACAGAGGCCTCTGTTCTCACATTTGTCTTCCCTAAATTTTTGTTGAATTAATTAAATCAAGGCCTGTGGTGGCAGCTCTTTCCCATCCTTGGTGAAGGATTGATCCTTCCTTAATCCTTTCCCATCCTTGGAAAGCTGAGCTGGAGTAAAAATGGCCTGAAAAGAGATGGAAACTTCTACTGGAGCTGCAATTATTCAACTGATTAATTAATGGGCCACACATCAGCAAAACTCACACAAACAGAGCCAACCCAGGCAACCACCATTAAACATCACAATTTTGCACTTTCAGCCTGACTCTGCAGTTATCAATTTATTTTTTTTTTTCTAATTTTAGTGAAGCAGGCTCAATTTGGAGTGGAAAGCTGCAGCCTGGGTTTGGGATTCGGGCCAGGCAGAGCAATCTGTGAAAGGGGCAGGGAGGTGCTGAGCTCTGCAAGCTTTTCCTGCCAGTCAGCAATCCCCCTTTCCCCATAAATAATCCCAAAAGGCATCTCATCCATTACCAGCAATTAGTCTGCTTTGGGAATCCTGCCTGGAGCCAGCAGCAGTTCACTGAGTTGCATTTTTTTATTTTATTTTATTTTAATTCAATGGATTTGATGGTTTTGGAGGTGTTTTCCAACCATCGATGGAAGCCAGGTTTTGCATTTTCGGGCATTGTGCAGCCAGAAATATTCATTTCAAGGAGTAAATGGCTTTATACAAATAGAAGACATCCTAAAAGCCTCCCATRAGTCTAAGAAAATTAAAATTAATGCAYTGGGTRGAATAAGAATAATGYTAAGRTTATTATCAATCATAGGTGTCTCTYAGTGTTCAAATCCAGATTTCAGRTYGGATTCAGACATGAACAAAAGTGAGGGAGCAAACTCTGCAAATTTGATTTGGGAAGCAAATGTGGGTTCACCCCACAAATTCCTGAAGCAAAGAGGATCCTGCAGGYTGTGGGACTCAGAAAATCCAGGCCAGACAGCAGGAAGCAACAGGAGGTGAATGAAGTTTAACCGAGCTAAATAACATTATTGCACAATTTTCAATCTCAAACCCACGAGGAATAAGGCAGAGTCTAAATTTCTCAGTTTAGTGTGCCAAAAGGATCTTTACAGCCTGGCCATTGTTATTTTTTTTTTTATTTTTTCCATTGCTGTCTCCAGGTTTTTCTCCACTAAAACACAAAAACTCAGTTTATAATGAAATTATCAAACTGGCTGCCCTGCTCCCTAAAAAGCTCTCAGAAAGYGAATTTGAGCAATAAAGAAAGTCCATGGAGGGATTTTTATTAYAACCAGCAGTAGATTCACTGATTTATGATGGTTTTGCCTGCCTGGCCGGATATTTATCAGGAGAACAAAACCCAGGAGTGAGGGGTCTGTGCTTTATTAAGGCTTTTCTTTCCTTCTGTTGTAATTCCCAAGATACAAAGCAGAGATAAATGAGCTGAAGGTTCAACATCTGCCTTTCTGAAGAGCCACATATCTGAATTAATACAATTTAATTCCTCCATTGTACAGAGTAGCACTGAAGTATTAAAGTTGATAAGTGCAGTGATTCAAGAAATAACCTGGAAAACAAGATTTCAAGAGATACTTTCAGGAATGACGTCTTCATTTYGGACATAAAAGCCTCCTTTTCTCCTCCCTCCTTATTCAAGCTTTTAAGCTGGTTCTTGTTAAGATCTTGCTCTTCTCAGAGTTTATTAAAATTCTGTACCAAGTCTGTCTGCTTGGCCCAAATTCTGGGCCTTCAAGCTGGGCCTGGTTTGTATTTCCCTTGGTTTGAATATCCAGATTCTATTTAGGGGGGAAAAGGCATCCTGTTCTTTATTATTATTGTTGTTGTTGCTGTTATTATTTATGATTTTTTTTGTTACTATTATTGTTATTACTACTACAATAATTACTCAGTTTTATCCTGTAGTAACACATAAGATTTAGAAATTAAAAGGCTGCTGCTGCTATTTTTTTGTACTTTACTCCTTTATTTTCTCTATATTTTCCATTTGTTTCTAAGTAGTGGTGAAGAGAAGGAAATGGAAGCTTTGCTATTTTTCAAAAGTGGTGAAGGCTTTGATTTTGCTTTAATTCTGACTGAGATTCGGGAAAAGTCGGGTAGTCAAGGTGTTTCTGTATTTCTGAAAAAGCCAGGAAATCTTGCAGATGTGACCCAAGTTGCAGAGCCAGCAGCTTCCCGGCACTTCCCTCTGGGATTCCCGGCTCTGCTGACCCGGAGCCGGCTTTTTCAGGGTATTTTAAAGGATTTTTCTCTCCTTAAAATACCAATTTCAGAAATAGCATCCCCAAAAATGGCTCCAGGTTTTAAGGCTTCCATAAAATCATTGATTTCCTATTTTAAAGCACTGAGCGCCGTTATTTTCTGTCTGAGCAGATTCTCCTCGGTGCTCTGCCCCTTTTCCGTGACCTGGGAAAAGCTCTTGGAGCCCGAGCCATAAAAACCTGGGCTGGATGGGGAGCCCGAGCTGCAGGAAACAGGTGCTGAGCAGCTTCCCGACCTCCAGGAAAAGGGCTCGGCGTTCATCCAGAGGGAAAAGGAGCTCCCGTGCTGGATTTTCCCTTCCCGAGGCCGTTCCCTCTGCGCAGCGAGCGCATCGTGCGCTAAAAACGCCGAGATTGTGGGTTCAATCCCGCGATTATTCACTGCAAACTGGACTTGGTGATCCTTGTGATCCCTCCCAGCTCAGAATACCTAGAAAACGATGATTGGGATGGATAAAATAAATCAGAGTTTGAATTAACGGGTAGGGAGCGATAAAGCTCATCCCGCTTCTTCAAAGCAAAGCCAGATCTGGGAAAGCGAAGGAACAACCTTCCAAAAAGAAGGGGAAAAAAGCCAAAATCCTCGTCGCGGGGATGGATCCGCCCGTGGGWGGCTCCTGGCGCTGGCTGCGGTGGGCGGGGATGGAATGGGGGTATAAAAATGGATGGAAGGGGATGCAGGAGGGATGAAGAGCTCGGAGCGCGATCCGAGGAAAAGCAGCGAGAGGAGAGAGCCCCGGAGCGCTGCGGGCAGCGCTGATTGCGCGGAGTCGGAGCTGAGCCCAGCCCGCTGGCCCGCGGCCCGAGAGGAGGAGGAGGAGAGAGGGAAGGAGGCAGGGAAGAGGCAGGGAAGGAAGGAAGGAAGGAGGGAAGGAAGGAGGAGGAGGAGGTGCCGGCTGTCCCCGCTGCCCGGCGGAGCGATGCTGGCGGCTGCTGCGCTGTGCGCGGCCGCTTTGGGCTGCGCTGCCGGGGCGCGGCTGCTCAGCGGTAAGAGGGGCTCGGGGTCATTCTGGGATCCTGGGGGATCTTCCCTATCCCCTCGGGTCCCTCGGGTGCCGCTGCGAGGGTCGGGATGCGCGGGCACTGTCGCGACATGGGCAGGGATGCCGCTGCTTTGCGGCGCTGGTGGGGAGGTTGGATTCGGTGGTTCTGGAGTTCTTTTCCAACTTTTCCAGCTGATTTTCCCCGCCGTTCTGCCCTGGGGGGCTCGCTGCAGTCAGCGGGCTCTGGGGCAGATCCCGAGTGAGGAGATAAAGGGGAAATACAAGGAATCCTTTCAGCCTTGCTCAGAGTGCTGGTACAATGCTCTAAACCGAGTCTGGGACCCGAAAGAGCAATGAAGTCCAGCCAGGAATCAACTCCAATCAGCTTTTCCTTTGCTAAAAGGAATGGCAAGTTTGGCTGATAAGGCAGAGACTTTCTGCCAGTTAATCATGAAAAAAAACTGAGCGCAGTTTCTGTGGTGCTGTTTCTAGAAAGTTGCAATTTTTAATGAAAATGTGCTGTCTGTGTTTTCCTTATGCCTCTCCCRGCAGCAGTGGATGTGTCTCTCAGGAGAGGTAAGGGGCTTTGCCTTTTGCTCTGACAGTCAAGTTCCCAAGAGAAACCCAGGCTGTGCTAGAAATGCATTCTTTAATACTGCTGTTGTCATAAAAATCCTGTTCCTATTTTAATTTCTATGTAAAATAGTAAAAATCCTGTTCCTATTGTAATTTCTGTGTAAAATAGTAAAAATCCTGACCCTAATTTCTGTGTAAAATGCTAGCAAACTCTGATTCTGGCTATTTAACTGTTCAAAAATCCCAATGTGAAAGGTGTTTAAACTCTCACTCTTCCAAGGACCAWCATAAAATTTTAAAAAGCCAGGAAACATCCCCAGGATGGGTTCATAATGCCCCGTCCTTGTATTATCCCATTTGTTCCAAGCACGTTACAAATGTTGCTGAATGTTTTCCTTCTGTAACAAGATGTAGGTTAGCAGATTGTGCCTGGAAAGAAATATTTACCGAGCAAAAACAAAACTGTTTGTTTCTGCAGTCTAAATATTGGGACTGCTCTGCCGAGAAACACACAAAGTGCGTAATTTTAGATGATGTGTCTTTTCACTTTGATCTTCCCTCGTAACCAAAATAAGCCGGGCTGCTTCTGCTTGGGAGAGTCCTTGGCTTCTGAGAGTCTGAAAACAGACATTGTTTACTCCCTGGGCAGTCAGAAATGTGACAGAACACAAAACAGTGCTGGAAATTGGGATGTGGGAACTCTGTTGTGATCCACGGGGTAGAAATTGGRAACTGGRRGRGTTTGAGGGTGGATTTTYGTATGAAATTTTTCTYTGTGAGGGTGGTGAGACCCAGCTTGGCCTGGGAAGTTGTGGATGTTTCGTCCCTGGGAGTGTCCAAGGTTGGGTTGGATSGGACTTGGAGCACCYTGGGATAGAAGAGGGTGRAAGAACAGGCAGGGGGTGGAATGAGATGCTTTTTGAGGTTTCTTCCAACCCAAAATAYTCTGTGACACTTCAATATCCACTCCATGAAACATAAACCCCAAAAAACAAAATCTTGCCACCTCTGCTTGAGCAAGGAAATCCCTAAGAAGCTTTTCCTGTGTTGTGTTTCCATACAAACAGCACAAAACTCACCAAAATCGACGTTTTATCATTAATTTTACTCCTTCCCGTAACAACTTTCCCTCCTCTTGATGCCTTATCAATCAGGCTTATCTGAAAGAGAGGCCAGACAAACTTAAGAGAATGAGAATACACAACTTTAATCCAGGCCTAACAGGCCTACTGGTACATTGAGGGCAGACAAAGCCTCCTCCTGAGGCTACACCCAAAATGGACACCAGGTCACGAGATCTTCACCTTTTATAAGTTCTTTATTAACATATTGGGTCTTAATTCTCCAATGATCTTTACAGGTCATGATGTCAACCACCCCAAACTTGCTCCACCCAATTCACTGTTGTTTCCATATTTTGAGGCTCTCAGGCAGTGAGGTGTCCTTGGATTCAGGCTCAGAGAGGAATTGTTTTATCTAAAGATGAAAGAACGACAGTTTTAGTGCTGTACTAGAGAAATACAAGAATACAGACGCATGAAAACATAGAAACTAAAAATCCTGTGGCATCACTCTCCGCAGGCCAGACGGTTTGCAGGCGTGGCACGCAGAAACCCTGCTACAAAATCGTTTATTTTCACGACGCCTCRCGCAGAACCAGCTACGAGGAGGCTCAGCTGGCGTGCAGGGCTGACGGGGGACACTTGGTCAGCATCGAGACAGCAGC